ACTGCTCAGCATCCCACTCTGTCTGTGTCTCTGTCTGTGTCTCTCTGTGTCTCTGTCTGTGTCTCTGTCTGTGTATCTGTCTCTCTGCCTGTATCTGTCTCACTACTGTGTCTCTGTCTGTGTCTCTCTGCCTGTATCTGTCTCACTGTGTCTCTGTCTGTTTCCCCCGTGACTCTGTCTCCCCATGTCTCCCCGTATCTCCTCGTGTGTCCCCAATCTCGTAGCCACCACCCCCGCCACCACCACCACCACCACCCCCACCACCACCCCCACCACCGCTGCCACCACCACCACCACCCCCCCACCGCTGCCACCACCACCACCCCCGCCACCACCGCCACCACCACCCCCACCACCACCCCCACCACCACCACCACCCCACCACCCCCCCCCCCACCCCCACCCCACCACCACCACCGCCACCACCACCCCCGCCACCACCACACCACACACCCCCCACCACCACCACCCCCCCACCCCCCACCACCACCCCCACCACCACCGCCACCACCACCCCACCACCACCACCCCCCACCACCACCCCCACCACCACCACCACCGCCCACCACCGCCGCCACCACCACCACCACCCCACCCCCACCACCACCCCCACCACCACCGCCACCACCGCCACCACCACCACCCCCACCACCACCACCACCACCCCACCACCCCGCCACCACCACCCCCCACCACCCCCCCCACCACCACCCCACCACCACCCGCACCGCCACCACCACCGCCCCATCCACCTCGCGTTGTCCACGGGGGACGTGGTGACGCTCTTTGCCAGCGGCCGTGTCGCCTCCATCAGCTCGCTGGTGGCCATGGCGACGCTGCTGGTGACGCTGCTGGTGCTGGTGCTGGCGCTGGTGTGCACCGTGCGGAACAGACGGAGCCCCGGCAATCGTCCCGGTGAGCGGCGGCGGCTACACAGATGTTGACTACCTCGCCTGGTGCGTAGGAAGTCGTGGGTTCGATCCAGACCCTGACGCCTGCTGCTGTATACTTGGAGTTTGCGTGTCTCTCTCATCATCATCTACTACACTATAAGAGTTTCTCTCCCCACGCTGCGTGCGATCTTCTCGTTCCCCAGCGATGGAGCAGCCAGCGACCGCCCCGAGCCTGCTCCCTGACAGTCCCGGCAGCCACCACCACCACTGCGACCACCACCATCACCGCCGCTGCGACCACGACCACCACCACCACCATCACCACGGTGGCGGCGGTGGAGGAGCAGAGCTGGCAACTCTAGAATCCCGCCCCCGGCCCTGGTTGACATTGCCAGATGAAAGCCGCTCACCGAGTCGTCTCCGCACCAACCCGTTCACCTCCTGCAGGGTGACCGTGCGCTGGCCGCGAGACAGTGACCACCTCGCGTGGCACGCGCGACGTGCCGGGTTCCAGCTCGAGCCGTGACGACGACGCCCGCCGCTGTTGGCTCGGAGTTGGCGGCGTCCGTCTCTCCGCGTGGCGACGTCCGTTCCAGAGGAGAATGATGATGTTTTACACGGCAAGTTATACATGTGTAGTGTTGTAAAGGACGGACTAATAAACCTCTTTATGGCACACACAGTTTATTGTCTTAATGACACAGTCCCTAACACACACAAGGGTTGTACGGTCCCCTCACCCGTTACCCTGAGGAGGTACAGCCTCCTGACCTGCACAGCTCACACTTCACTCCTAATCTACGGAGCTACAGCCTCCAGACTTGCCGTCTATCCAATCTCCCCCCATCCCAGCGTCCTCCAGACTTGCCGTCTATCCAATCTCCCCGCTAGCCCAGCGTCCTCCAGACTTGCCGTCTATCCAATCTCCCCGCCATCCCAGCGTCCTCCAGACCTGCCGTCTATCCAATCTCCCCCCTAGCCCAGCGTCCTCCAGACTTGCCGTCTATCTAATCTCCCCGCTAGCCCAGCGTCCTCCGGACTTGCCGTCTATCCAATCTCCCCGCTAGTCCAGCGTCCTCCAGACTTGCCGTCTATCCAATCTCCCCGCCATCCCAGCGTCCTCCAGACTTGCCGTCTATCCAATCTCCCCCCATCCCAGCGTCCTCCAGACCTGCCGTCTATCCAATCTCCCCCCTAGCCCAGCATCCTCCAGACCTGCCGTCTATCCAATCTCCCCCTAGCCCAGCGTCCTCCAGACTTGCCGTCTATCCAATCTCCCCGCCATCCCAGCGTCCTCCAGACTTGCCGTCTATCCAATCTCCCCGCCATCCCAGCGTCCTCCAGACTTGCCGTCTATCCAATCTCCCCGCCATCCCAGCGTCCTCCAGACTTGCCGTCTATCCAATCTCCCCCCTAGCCCAGCGTCCTCCAGACTTGCCGTCTATCCAATCTCCCCGCCATCCCAGCGTCCTCCAGACTTGCCGTCTATCCAATCTCCCCGCCATCCCAGCGTCCTCCAGACTTGCCGTCTATCCAATCTACCCCCTAGCCCAGCGTCCTCCAGACTTGCCGTCTATCCAATCAACCCCCTAGCCCAGCGTCCTCCGACTTGCCGTCTATCCAATCTCCCCGCTAGCCCAGCGTCCTCCAGACTTGCCGTCTATCCAATCTCCCCGCTAGTTCAGCGTCCTCCAGACTTGCCGTCTATCCAATCTCCCCGCTAGTTCAGCGTCCTCCAGACTTGCCGTCTATCCAATCACCCCGCTAGTTCAGCGTCCTCCAGACTTGCCGTCTATCCAATCAACCCCCTAGCCCAGCATCCTCCAGACTTGCCGTCTATCCAATCAACCCCCTAGCCCAGCGTCCTCCAGACTTGCCGTCTATCCAATCTCCCCGCCATCCCAGCGTCCTCCAGACTTGCCGTCTATCCAATCTCCCCGCCATCCCAGCGTCCTCCAGACTTGCCGTCTATCCAATCTCCCCGCCATCCCAGCGTCCTCCAGACTTGCCGTCTATCCAATCTCCCCCCTAGCCCAGCGTCCTCCAAACTTGCCGTCTATCCAATCTCCCCGCCATCCCAGCATCCTCCAGACTTGCCGTCTATCCAATCTCCCCGCCATCCCAGCGTCCTCCAGACTTGCCGTCTATCCAATCTCCCCCCTAGCCCAGCGTCCTCCAGACTTGCCGTCTATCCAATCAACCCCCTAGCCCACGTCCTCCGACTTGCCGTCTATCCAATCTCCCCGCTAGCCCAGCGTCCTCCAGACTTGCCGTCTATCCAATCTCCCCGCTAGTTCAGCGTCCTCCAGACTTGCCGTCTATCCAATCTCCCCGCTAGTTCAGCGTCCTCCAGACTTGCCGTCTATCCAATCACCCCGCTAGTTCAGCGTCCTCCAGACTTGCCGTCTATCCAATCAACCCCCTAGCCCAGCATCCTCCAGACTTGCCGTCTATCCAATCAACCCCCTAGCCCAGCGTCCTCCAGACTTGCCGTCTATCCAATCTCCCCGCCATCCCAGCGTCCTCCAGACTTGCCGTCTATCCAATCTCCCCGCCATCCCAGCGTCCTCCAGACTTGCCGTCTATCCAATCTCCCCGCCATCCCAGCGTCCTCCAAACTTGCCGTCTATCCAATCTCCCTGCCATCCCAGCATCCTCCAGACTTGCCGTCTATCCAATCTCCCCGCCATCCCAGCGTCCTCCGGACTTGCCGTCTATCCAATCTCCCCGCCATCCCAGCGTCCTCCGGACTTGCCGTCTATCCAATCTCCCCCCTAGCCCAGCGTCCTCCAGACTTGCCGTCTATCCAATCTCCCCGCCATCCCAGCATCCTCCAGACTTGCCGTCTATCCAATCTCCCCCCTAGCCCAGCGTCCTCCAGACTTGCCGTCTATCCAATCTCCCCCCTAGCCCAGCGTCCTCCAGACTTGCCGTCTATCCAATCTCCCCGCCATCCCACGCGTCCTCCAGACTTGCCGTCTATCCAATCTACCCGCCAGCCCAGCGTCCTCCAGACTTGCCGTCTCCAATCCCCCTCCTCTCCCCCTAGCCCAGCGTCCTCCAGGACTTGCCGTCTATCCAATCTCCCCGCCATCCCAGCGGCCTCCAGACTTGCCGTCTATCCAATCTTCCCCCGCCATCCCAGCGTCCTCCAGACTTGCCGTCTATCCAATCTCCCCGCCATCCCAGCGTCCTCCAGACTTGCCGTCTATCCAATCTCCCCCTAGCCCAGCGTCCTCCAGACTTGCCGTCTATCCAATCTCCCCGCCATCCCAGCGTCCTCCAGACTTGCCGTCTATCCAATCTCCCCGCCATCCAGCGTCCTCCAGACTTGCCGTCTATCCAATCTCCCCCCTAGCCCAGCGTCCTCCAGACTTGCCGTCTATCCAATCAACCCCTAGCCCAGCGTCCTCCGACTTGCCGTCTATTCCAATCTCCCCGCTAGCCCAGCGTCCTCCAGACTTGCCGTCTATCCAATCTCCCCGCTAGTTCAGCGTCCTCCAGACTTGCCGTCTATCCAATCTCCCCGCTAGTTTCAGCGTCCTCCAGACTTGCCGTCTATCCAATCTCCCCGCTAGTTCAGCGTCCGTCCAGACTTGCCGTCTATCCAATCAACCCCCTAGCCAGCATCCTCCAGACTTGCCGTCTATCCAATCAACCCCCTAGCCCAGCGTCCTCCAGACTTGCCGTCTATCCAATCTCCCCGCCATCCCAGCGTCCTCCAGACTTGCCGTCCTATCCAATCTCCCCGCCATCCCAGCGTCCTCCAGATTTGCCGTCTATCCAATCTCCCTGCCATCCCAGCGTCCTCCAGACTTGCCATCTATCCAATCTCCCCGCCATCCCAGCGTCCTCCAAACTTGCCGTCTATCCAATCTCCCCGCCATCCCAGCATCCTCCAGACTTGCCGTCTATCCAATCTCCCCGCCATCCCAGCGTCCTCCGGACTTGCCGTCTATCCAATCTCCCCCTAGCCCAGCGTCCTCCAGACTTGCCGTCTATCCAATCTCCCCGCCATCCCAGCATCCTCCAGACTTGCCGTCTATCCAATCTCCCCCCTAGCCCAGCGTCCTCCAGACTTGCCGTCTATCCAATCTCCCCCCTAGCCCAGCGTCCTCCAGACTTGCCGTCTATCCAATCTCCCCGCCATCCCAGCGTCCTCCAGACTTGCCGTCTATCCAATCTACCCGCCAGCCAAGCGTCCTCCAGACTTGCCGTCTATCCAATCTCCCCGCCAGCCCAGCGTCCTCCAAACTTGCCGTCTATCCAATCTCCCCGCCATCCCAGCATCCTCCAGACTTGCCGTCTATCCAATCTCCCCGCCATCCCAGCGTCCTCCGGACTTGCCGTCTATCCAATCTCCCCCCTAGCCCAGCGTCCTCCAGACTTGCCGTCTATCCAATCTCCCCGCCATCCCAGCATCCTCCAGACTTGCCGTCTATCCAATCTCCCCCCTAGCCCAGCGTCCTCCAGACTTGCCGTCTATCCAATCTCCCCCCTAGCCCAGCGTCCTCCAGACTTGCCGTCTATCCAATCTCCCCGCTAGCCCAGCGTCCTCCAGACTTGCCGTCTATCCAATCTCCCCGCCATCCCAGCGTCCTCCAGACTTGCCGTCTATCCAATCTCCCCGCCAGCCCAGCGTCCTCCAGACTTGCCGTCTATCCAATCTCCCCGCCATCCCAGCGTCCTCCAGACTTGCCGTCTATCCAATCTCCCCGCCATCCCAGCGTCCTCCAGACTTGCCGTCTATCCAATCTCCCCGCCATCCCAGCGTCCTCCAGACTTGCCGTCTATCCAATCTCCCCGCCAGCCCAGCGTCCTCCAGACTTGCCGTCTATCCAATCTCCCCGCCATCCCAGCGTCCTCCAGACTTGCCGTCTATCCAATCTCCCCACTAGCCCAGCGTCCTCCGGCTGGACCTAGGGGAGGCACACCGACCCGGCGGGTCCCCGACCCTCTGCTCACTCGAGACCTTCGCCCTCACGAGGGCGGGAAGGCTGGGAGCCAGGGTCCTATCCAGGACCTATCTCCCCTGACCACTGGTGACACTGAGCCCCAGCCCTGACAAGGGCTGGGGTCACCACACAGAGACCCACAGACTCACCACACAGAGACCCACAGACTCACCACACAGAGACCCACAGACTCACCACATAGAGACCCACAGACTCACCACACAGAGACCCACAGACTCACCACACAGAGACCCACAGACTCACCACGTGTCCCAGCGTTGGTTGTGTCCCGGTCTGTCCATGGCCTGGCCTCCTCTCTCCTTGCCTGGCTGCTTGCCCCGTGAGTGAGGCTGCCTGCCCAGCTGTTTTGTTGTTTACTGGGGGAGGACATTGTGGTGCTGGTGGTGATGGTAATAAAGGTGGCAAGTTCACTTACCTGGGCTGGAACTGCTCTGAGCAGGTGGGCGCGTCGTGATGATGCTGTTGTTGTTGTGCACAAGACTTGAACTAGAAACTAAACCGCGTTTTATTTTTAGCGGGCAAGGGCCTCATTGAGATGCTGTGTGTGTAA